TGAGTTGTAAGAAGGTGAGAGAGTTTTGTTTGTATATTTTTATGAATAGGTACTATTTGTAGTAAATATTCTAAGGAAGGTTGAAGTATAAGATTAAATAACAAAAAGATTTGTGATGGATTAAGTTTTTTATATTTGATTAGTGAGAGAAAGTTTTCAATTTTGTTATGTACTATTTCAAGAGTTGGTTTGGTAGAGCCTTTTCTATCAAAGAAATACCAAGGTATCTTATGATTTCTTCAGAATTTCTAGATATAATAGTTTGATTTTTGTATGTTAGTGGTATAATAGTTGTTGATTTTTGTGATTTGAGTTTAATATGTAATAGATCTGATTTGGATGAATTGATTGATAGGTTATTAAGCTCATATGGGGCCTTTGCTAGGAAAATAGAGTTTCGAGATTCTTCTAACCAAAAATGAGATTATATATATATCTTATTATATGGCATAAGAACTTTCATTTGGTGTTATTTTTTTAACGTATTGTTAGTCTTAAAGTAAGTTATTTGATCCCGAATTTTTGAACGAAGAATTTTTTGAAAATCTAAAAATAGAATCGATGTACATCAGTCACATGATTAATGTTTATCATCGATCATATAATTAATGTTCATCATAAATATAAGCTTACTATATTAGGGGAAAGCTTTACATATACTGGCTTTTATACAGTATTGAAATTTTAATTAATCTTCACCATATCAAGAATTCTTTATGACAAGAGTAACTTTCATTATCACAATTTTCATATTCGTTTAATACCTTCACTTTATTATTTTGAAAATATGTAAAGTTCAAAATTATAATGGACGATAAGGTTTTAAATTTATAACTTATCGGATTCAGCTTCTAGCAAATTTGATCAGTCACAGATAATTAAATTCAATTAAAATATCTATCTTTACTGATGCTGAACAAATTTGTCAGGTGCTAAATCCGATAAATAATAAAGTTCATGAGTTCTTCTAACATAACTTAAATATGACAAAAATGCTAGTTTTTTCTCTATACAGCAAATATGTATTGAGTTATAATTGGTTGCACATGATTTCGCAGTCCCATGGGACTGCAAGAATATACTCTAGTGATGTAATTATGTATAGTGATAAGGTTGTGTAACTCTATAATATACTCGATGCGATATAAAAGTTTGTGAATCTTATTAGTAATTTGAAAATTTATTATAACAAAAATTAATAAATAAGAGGTTCGATCTTAGAAATTGAACCTAGACTTTGATTTTTCATTGAATAAACTTGTGCCTATAAAAAATATCGTGAGACCTGCTAATTGATGTATAGATGTTGTGAAAGAGATGACTAGTGAAGAAACAAAAATCGGTGCTATAAGCGAGTGCGATGATGAATAAATTAATAAATTAATACAACAGTTGACTAGATTTTAAGTCTATAAGCGATTTATTCAGTATGTGTATTTTATTTTTATTTATTTTTTTTTTTTTATAATTATATATTGAATAACTTACCTATTTTTTTACTTTTTGGATTGCTGCTAATTATGATTACATTACTATTACTTTATCATTTTATTACTGCTTCATATATTTTATTATCACTGTTATTTATTTATTAATTCACTTTATCATCATATCTCTTTACTACTATATTTATTTTATTTTATTATGCTTCATTATTTATTCTATTTCACCTTTTACTCAACTACTATTATATTGCTTCTCACTATAATTTATATATAATGTTACTATTGTTTGGGAGAGCTTTCATAATATTAGCACAGTTTAGATCCAATAGTTAACTTATATAATATACGTATCTAATCGATGATAGTAATTGCTTGTACACGTGAAATTATATAATCAATTCGATATCGAAGCACTTAAGTAATCAACTAATTAACTTATTTAATTGTGACACAATTAGAGTTTAGACCCGAGTTTATTTTTTGATAGCCTCTAGCTACTGTTGGAGAATGAACTGATTATGTCATAATTCTTTTGTATAGTGAATATTGATGGTTATTTTAAAGTTACAGGTAGCTTTTGCGACAGTCTTTTGTTATTAAACAGTTTGTTCTAAAAAATATTTTTAAAACATATAAATGAGTCATTTAAGTAATTTTACAGCAGTAAGTTCTATGTATATAGAGTGGAATATACTATACAATGTCAACTTTTTATAGCTCTATTGTTATTAAAATTAAATCTAATTTATGAATGCTTGAAGCAGGATTAGTTGAAGGGTTTCAATTTTCTCAGCTCCAGTCACATATTTAACCCTTATTTGCAACCTGTTTTCATCCAAGTTACCCAATTTCAAACTATATAGGTAATCTGAGTGACAATTTTACATCCAGTCTAACCTCTAGATGCAACTGATGCAATTAATTTATAATATTGAAAAGATATTAAAATAGTTATTTGGAAGTTAATTAATTTTATTTATCTTTATTTTTAGTTTTATCTGGCTTTATACAATATAAGTCTTTGTATGGATCCTCTACATATTGTCTAATCTTTGTGTATAAGTAATATTTTCTTTTATCAGTTAATTGTTTTGTACATATAGTTTCTAATGGGGCATTTATATTAAATGTTTTGTTATTTAGCAATTAAAAGGCTATTTCTATTCCGCCTAATTCTTTTGACGCATAAACCTTTCCAATATCTGTAGACAAATTACTGAATCTAAAATGATAATATTGTGTTATATGTGGAAAGTTTATAAAATGGTTTTTAAATAATGAGCTAAAATTATACCAGGCCCAACCTAAACCATTATTATATTGAATTGTCTGGTTTTCTTTTGCTGAATTGTTAATAATATCTTTTATGTTATCTATAGTGTTAACTTTTTGATTCCTATATTTTTTTTTTATTTGACCAAAAAATAAATCGCATATAAATTTTGTATAGCCTAGAAATATAAAGTTTACAGTAATTTCATTATACCAGCCTTGCATTATTAGCCAAGAATAAAAAAAAAGAGCTAAATTATTTTTGTTTTGGCCATCACAGTTGTTACAAGTTATATGTAATTTTTTTTTCTAGTTCATGCAAATTTTTGAAGAAAATGATATATTATATTAATCATAGTATTAGAACCTTTTGAAATACCTTCAGGAAGTTCATTTTCACCTATTATAAAATTTAATTGAAAGTTTTAACTGCCTTCAGTTTTACATGCACCAAATAAATATATAGAAAATGGACTTTTAAAATATATCGATCCTATTTGCTGTGGTGAATATGAAATTGATAAACTTTGTGCCCAATCATAACATACATGTGTGACAGATAAATCATTTTTACTTTTATTTATGTTATCATTATAATGTTGTCTTTCTTTTTCAGCCACTTTGTAATATTGATCATATTGACTTTTAACTTGTTCATATTCATCTATATTAGATTTTGCTATGATTAATTTGGCTTTTAACATTTCACAAACTTCACATAAATCACTCACAGGTAGTTGAAATTTAAGATGCAGTATTATTTCATGCCAAAGTCTTCTAAATGTAAAATAAGATATAATATTTTCAGTATTGCTATGTTTAATATAAAAATATTCTTTAAATTCATTGTAAACAGAAATATAGGTTTTTCCTGTTGGTAAATAGATAAAAGGCTCTGATTCATTTTTATGCCGCATTAGAGATGAGAGTCCATGAATTATTGCATATTGTTCTAAAAAATTTTTGACAGGAAAAGTAACACTTGAATTAAGAAAGACTTTACTTTCTCTTATAGCTACACATTCAGTATTATCATGAATTCATTCTACTAATCCTTCAGTATGTAACTGATCTTGTAATGTTGAAAGAAAATATTCATTTATTCTATAAAGTTTTAAAAATGCAGGCTTACAAAGTGGATAGGATGAGTTATAGACATATCGAAAATTATGTTTTTGTTGAGATTCTTCTAACTTAATATTTGATATTTCAAAAGCCATCAATTGTGCTTTTAAGAATAATTCAAGTTCAGATTTTTCTAAAGCACGTATTTGTAAATATCTTTTAAAAAATTTTTTAAACCCTACTTTTTCATAACATATTCTTAAATCTTTTAATTTAGGTTTTGGACGACATTTACAATTTGATTGATTAAAAAATTGTATTAAATCATGTATGGTATTGAGAACCAATTCATTATCTTCATATTCTTCTAAACCCAGTTCTATTAAATTATAAACTGGCCTTGAATCTATATTTAAATCTTTATTTGAAGACATTAAAATTATTAAATGAAGTTTATTTTATATTTATAATATTTATTTAAGAATAGGCTATCTGCAATATCTATATGCATACAAAGTTTAATATTTCAAAGGTATTGTATTATATATCTTGTTGGGTCATACTGATAAGTTATTATAGTATTACTAAATAGGATTGTAGACATGAAAAAATTTTAATAATTCTTTTGCATATTAATATATAAATTTTTTTAAAAGGGCATGCTTTAAGCATATCCTTCCAAGTATGTATGTCCTTGAAACATGCACTTCCAGATATGTATACTCTTCTAGGTATACCCTTCTGAGTATGCCTTTGAGGCATACTCTTTTGGGTATACTTTTAAGATATGCTCTAAGACACTATGTATTCATAACTCTATGACTAAGACTAATAATAACTTAAAAAATTTATAATAATTATTATATGAGAGAGTTTTAAAATTATTATTTATTTTATAAAATAAAATAAAAATTTAAATAGGGTTTTTGCTAAATTATATAAATCAGAAAAATAGAATAAGACTTTTTAACTTTAATTTTAAAAAATTCTACATACTAAAAGTTACTTTTTGCCTGCTAAAACAAGCTAAATAAAGAAATAGATAAGAAAATAATTATGGCAGTACTGTATTAATTGGCAATTATATTGCATATAACACTTTCCTAATATAATAATGTAGAAGATTCCTATTTAAATTCATACCGGTAAGTATTAGATAAGATGTTTGAATAATTTCTAGAGATATATATATAATTATCAATGTGTTTAAAGAAAATATGCGCATTATTCATATGTTACTACATTTGCATAATAATAATACCATCTAGGGTAGAGATAGTACCCGTATAAGAATTACTCAGATAACCCATATAAGATCCGTTAACTGGGTTAACCTACTGCTACTCGTTGACCCAGATTAATTAATGAAAATAAACATTCATCAGATTGGCTAGTTGATTCAATTGTATGAAGAAATGGTTAAACAATTTTAACAAACTCAGCTTCAAAAAGCACTATACAAATTAATTATTTTATAAATGTAATAATTATTAGGTCATTTCTTCATGTATTACTAAGATAATTTAATATAGTATTTAGGAGTTCTGGAAGCAAATTCTGGCTGTAATCCATGATTAATCTCGATATTCGAATCACGTCTATTAAAGGCCTTTGGTTGATATTTCAGATATCATAACACTAAAACTATAAATATCAACTGTTTGTATAAATTTATATAACTTCTGGAGAAACATAAAACATGAAACTGTAAATATCACTTTCTGAAACACTTTCATTTCTTTCTAGGCAATCCTAGATATAGCATAGCTTTACATAATCGTGAATATCAGATAATTCATATTAAGCATTTTTAGTTTAGCTTTTCAAGCAAGTCTCAAATTTTTTTTAAATATTTCTAAAGGCTTTCGTTCCATTGCAAGTTTGCTATATATATCATGTGATTGATAAATTCCTTCAAAAAAATTAAAACTATTTTCCTTAAAACTGATCAGAGTCTTGAGTGCAACAGTATTAGATTTTTCTCACACTCTTGCATAATTATTTTTGCCATCATTATACAGAACCAAATTCTCCTTTGCAAATTTCTATAATATATCTATCTAATGGAATCTACTCAATCACATGCTCATATTTAAAAGTTCTAAATTAATCCTGCTAATACAAAAATTGGGAATGCGAAAGATCTTTATTAGGCAAAAAATGCATTTGCCATTCGTGATCTTAATAGTTGCTATCTATGAATAACCAGGTTAACCGGGTCAACTGAATCACTAGATTATTTGATGTAATCTGGTTTGTGACCTGGTAATGATATTTTAAATGAGTAAGCATCCCAGAGCTTAAATTTTGAACTAGGTATAATCTCTAGTCTAGGAATAGTGCCAAAGCTAGTAGATTTTTGTAGCATCTAAAATTATGCTATTTTTTAGCAAAATAGCTAGTGATATTGTTTTGTGCTAAGATATGCTATTATTACCTAAGCATGTAATTTTTGCTTTTGTTCTTTACTGATTTGTTTAACAATTATCAATAGCGAAGATAAATTTATAAAATAATAAATTTTTTTTTTTCTTTGAAAAAAAAAAATGCCACCAGTTCTTTTGCTTTTAGATCGGTATCCTCACAAGGTTAAATTTTTTATATTTTAATGAATATGGCTTTAGCGAAGATAATGTAAACAATTTTTAAAATATAAATTTATAATAAATAATTGGTTTGCTATTTTGCTAATTGTGCTAAATTTACTATGTAGCTATTTTTGCTAGTTATATTTGCTATGTATTAACAGCTACTGGCTCTGGTTAGTGTGGATCTGTGATGGCATAATCTGTACATAATTCAGATTTTACTGCAAAAGCAAATACGATAGCATATTCATATATCAGAACGAATTTCGCATAATTAATAGTGTATAATCTATACATAAAATAGCTGAAATTAAAGTAATATTGGGTCTACTAATTTTTTCCACCAGTTTCTATTAGACACATAGAAATCTTGCCTTTGATTGTATGAAATATAAATTATCAGATTTTGAAATTTTCAATTCAATTGAATATTAAAGTAATAAAACATATTGTTAAGACCATACAAAGTTAATTTTTTGTTTTGCATTATATGGAATTTGAAAAATCAGCTAGCAAGTGGAGGGTTTTCTGTTAGTCCTATAGGATAATTATGAGATTTATCAGAAAAAAAATTAAATTGCAAAAATCAAATAATTGGCATAATTGAGACTTAAAAAAAAAAAAAATTTAAAAAAATTAGTCAGCGAGTAATGCAAAATAAAAAATTAACTTTGCGTAGCCTAAAGTAATATAAAAGTTTAACAAGAAATCAAGAAATATATATTTTTATCTGATTAGCATAATCTATAGCATAATTTTTAAAAAATTTATCACATAATTTATATAAATTGAATTGTAAAGCAGCAGAAAATGAGGATTCCTAATTCTGTCTCTTTTTGATCACGTGAATTAGTTATTGTATCACAAAATTTTTGCTATTAAATTGACCCTCCGAGACATTGTTACACAAAATAGTCTAAAAATAGCACCGAATTTGATGATCAATAATTCGTGTAACATAAACTTTATTTTGATTTTACACAAATCAGATAATCAACGCTGGAGTGTCATTTTGTTAGCAAAAACCCTATATAGTTTTGATGTATCATTAAGAATATGTTGCATAGTTTGTTGGTTTTCACAATGCCATACTGTATTATCCATATATGCCAGTGGAGGTACAGTAATAGAAGTCAGAATGGCATTAGAAATAAGATCAAGCAGAGATTGAAATAAGATTTTTAAGAGATGATTATAGTATTTTTGTGAAATAAAGATAAAAATAGGGTCATAATAAATTTTCCAAAGAAGTAGTGAGTATGTTTCTCCTTGTTCAATTCCAGAATTGAGTTGAATAGGAGTAGTAAGGCTATGTGCTTAATGATTTTTGCTTGGCGAGAAGTATGTAGTTTAGTGATGAAGTTTATACCTTTAGTTGGAATACCTATTTTTTTGCATGTTTCTTGAAGACGAGATATGTTTATTTTGTCAAATGCTTTAGATATATCTTGAAATAAAATCCATGCTTCTTTGTTTTGTGATATATAATGTTTAATTATATTATGCAGAATTTGAATTGGTATATATGTAGATGAATTTTTTGTTCCAGCAAAGTTTAAGTTTGAGAGAAGGTTATTCGATATGATTATTTTGTCAAGTCATTTGGTGAATATTTTTGTGAGTGTTTTTTTGAAAGGTTCTATAATAGAGATAGGCCTTACTTGGTTAAGAGT